ACAGCGCAGCTCCAATCCATTTTGTAAAAGCTGATTACAGATGCGTTATCAGGAAAATTGACGCTACTTGATGTCGCCGTTCATGTCTTCTATCGTTGCATCTAGTTTGCTTTTGAAGCTCATCTGTCGGCTTCTGTTGCTCAGGACCAGTGGGCTGTAGGTATGAGGTATTCCGCTGCGTTTGGCGCTGGGTTGGCCCACCATAGTCTGTTTGTTCGCTCGAATAGGGGACGGTCTCGTTGACACGCCAATTCGAGACGGTGATACCAACATCTGCAGCCTCACCTCAGTCCTTACACTGGCAGAAAGTCGAGGCGTATACGCTGCATTGCATGCGCCTTGTAAGTCGAGAATCGCTACTACCATACCACCGTCAGAATTCCATTGCGTTTGGCACTACACGAACTACTGACACTAGATGCCGTGTTTTTAGGTAGGAAGTTGAGCGAGCTGAGCGGGCATTCTTCACGACCAGTCCACCCACAGAAGTCACCGGTGCCGCTGGTCTCAAATTCGTGGAAGGCACGCTCTCGTTTGGAGGGTATTGGGGAGGCATGTCCGGTCCTGACCGAGCAATCACCGGCCGGATAAACCGTCTGCAACGCCGTGGACAAATTTATTCTGGAATGAGCAAACTTCGTATGTTATTTGTGGTTGGTTGACACTGCCGTTTCCAAAGTTCCTCGTGTTTTATTTTTCATTCAGGTATTGCTGATATCTGTAGCATAATTCAGTTCTGATTCATTGCAATGTTTGGTATCCCCGCACAGCAATCAGTCCGGATTTTTAGCTGCTTTGAATTCGTATCCATTCACTCTTGTTTACCGTAACTGGCTGGAATATTTGTCGCGCCTTGCCCGAATCCGTTCCTGTTCAAACTGAACTTTGCAGCGCGCCACTCCCTAACCTGAGCGATAGCACCCCCCCCCCCCCCCCCTCCGCTCTCTCTCCCCCCCCGCCATGGGTGCCGATTTACCGGGTGGCAACAGCACGATAAGATTTGCCGTTTGATGGTTGGATCAAAACAGTCTGCGGTCGCCTAAGTTTGATAGCTATATCGTGTGGGGACGTCGGGACTTTGGATGTTTGAGAAACAGTCTGCAGCGGGACTGAGGGTTTATGAATGCAATAGAGATTAGATGATTTATGGTAATTTATATGATCTTTGTAATTTGTTAGGAGCAAAGTAAATATTTTATGTGATTTCATCGAACGCTGTACCCGTCTAGTGTCCACTAAGCGCCTGTTAGATGACAGCTGACAAGCGGTAGGTGGGTCTCAAAACATCCTCAGAATAATAATAAGAAAGATTGGCTCCGTATAAGGATCCCTGAGATCGCAGAGATCCCAATAAGAAAAGCATTACTATAATTGGTTGATTAGGCTGTGTTATATAACAATGGCCAATGGGTCGCGTTGTGGAGTTATGAAAATATTTCCATATGCAACAACAAAACACTCCTCGATTTACGGGAGGAACTAGGACATCAAAAAGCATTGCTAGCTCTCGTCTTTTTTAGCTAACAAATGTCATCAGCCAGGCCACAGTGGACGGAACTACTGACTCCAGCGCCAGCGTTTTCCGATATGGACGGAAGCTGTCACCGAACCCCCGGTGCTCACGGTGCATTATAGCGTTCATTCCAACGTCTCCTGTGTCCTCCGGGGTTTCCCGGATCGGGATTGGGACCGGGTGCTACGGCGATGACCTGAGTCGAATGACACTGGTACTGTCGACAGGTCGGTACACGGGCCTTCAAGCATTGAGTGGTTGGAGTGGAAGTTGAAGTTTAATATAAGTGAGCGGTCTATTCAGCGCTCACATCGAGCCGGACTAGGAAATGCGGTCAATAGTGATGTGAGGAAGCAGGTTCGGCAGCCGTGTGTTGGTCTAGCCTGTTTTTAAACATGCCGTAGATGCAGCCTCCACCACCTCTCTTGGCAGTCTGTTCCGGTCCTTCACTACTCTGTTCTACTCTGTTGGCTGGTTGCTAATATCACAATAGTCGCTCAGTATTGATTAATACGACTATAGGTGGTTACGAACATTGCCCAAGTGTGTGCACGAAACCTCTTCTCATTTCTCCTTCTTCTTACTCATCGGCTGACCAGCCGCTGGAGGGGAAGGGGGAGAGGAAAGGACTGTGTTGGGACTCATTGTTTTTTTTTTATGTCGAGCGAGGAGTTGCCGTCTACTGCTGGCCATCAATACCTAGTCTGTTTCTGCTTCTCTCCGGCCTTTCTCTGCTATGATTTTTATACAGTTTTTTAACTCTTTTTCCGTTGAGTTTTTGATCATAAGTTGAATTGACCAATGAGTTACATGATATGCATATTTTTAAGATTCCTAAACTAAAAAAAAAAAACAGAACTTTTGATGCATCAGTAGGATAGCTGCTTAGCTGACAGTTGCGCAGGCTGACAGACTTTTTGTTTCGATGTACTGTTTGTGCACTTTACCTCTATTTCGAGTGTTGGTATGTGCCGTGTGGGCTTTTCTCCGTCTCATCGATAAGCCTGTTTTTAGTCCCATTAACGCTACGTCGGAAACAGAAGAAGACAAGTGGCTCAGGCATGCCGTTTATCGATGACTGAAGTTGGTCAGTGGTTTCCTGTTTCTGAAAAGAACTACTTGTCGCTGTTTGAATACGATTCGAAGCCGATAAGGAATTGGAGGCACGCTTACAGTCATCAGTGAAATGAGATGGCCACAGGCCACGTGTACGATATCGACAGAATATGCTCATTGTTCATCTTGGCATCATCTTACATAGGGCATCACTTTTTTTGTACCGGGATGCCTGATATCATTTTACACCGTAACACATTTAGAGCCATGTTTTTAACGGGCATCATCAGGGCGTAAGTGCCGGAAGTTCCTTTGCTTTTACAATCAATTGTATAGTGAACTGGATTGGATACATTTACGCGTGCAGGTGCTTGCTCTCAGTGATCTCGAAGTGATCAATACCTACCGAATACTGCCTTTATGAAAGTAAAGTCGACTTTCCAACTGGTTTCATACTGCTGGTGAATTGGTGCACGAACTATTGCACGGTGCCACTGTATGCGAATACCATTCTCTAGAACTCCCATCCTCTCCTAATAATCCCTCTGTAAACCACACACCCCTCGACACACATTCGGGGGACAAATCCTGGCTCCATGCAGGTGAGGCGGCTCATCCACTCGCACACTGTCTTCTATCAGAGCTCACTATCTGGGACTGTGTCAATAACTGCCGCACACTGGCTAAGAGGGATAAGGCTGAGCCCAGGTCGTGAGGCAGACGGACGGACAGATGGACAGATGGACAGACTCACATATTCCCAGACAGACAGATGGATGGACGGGCAGACGGGCGGAAAGACGGACAGATGGATGGAAAGACGGACAGATGGATGGAAAGACGGGCAGAGGGACAGATGGCCTTGATGAATATATGAATGAATGGCCACGAACCTTCAAATGGTCAGACAGACAGAAGGAGGGACTGATAAACGGACAGGCCAACCAGACGTATTGGACAGACCTACAATCACCCAGGGAATGAGTCCTATAGTCACATGCGTCGATCAATATTTTAATTGCGTATTGATCTTAACTTGTCTCGTTAATATTGGAGAAGGCAACGTCTTTTCAATGTTTTTAAATGCACGAATATTATTTTACAGTTGATTGTGATTTCTCGTAAGCTCGTACTGCGTGCGACAGCGATGCTTTAGACAAGACACTAGACAACCAAGGCCGTCTCCGGGTCAGTAATATACAGTGAATGGTACGGCAGATAGCCATGCGCTCGCTGGCTATCAGACAACTATGCTTCGATTGGAGCGGATCGGAGATAGGTGGAACACTTAGGAGGATTACTGAGGGCGATGAGATTCCTGAATTAGGCACCCGCCACGTGACAGAGGTCAAATTGTTTGATACCGAAAATTGTCAGCAATATATTTGTTACGTGAAGACAATTTCACTGTCCAGTTTGTCGAGCATGAAATTGGCATTCGTTGGCATTACTGATCTACCAAACGTTGAGTTTCCAAATGAGGTCTTTTACCTTTCCACAGCTTTGCGATATTTATTTTTGTAAGTGCTAGTTTCGTGATGTCTCAACAAATAGCTACGCTGGATATTTTCTCATAACATGCATTGCAAGAAGAAACGACTGCGCATGGGGGATTGAGGCGTCTTGTCCTACTTTCCCCATCCCCCGTGCTGCGTGTTATCGGACTTCGCTGCTTATCCTAGTGTGTCCAAACACCACTACGTAATCCAATAGTGGCTGGCAATGATTGTTCATTGACTTTTCGTGCAGCAAAGTGTCCCTTTGTCGTCCATGTGCCCTGATAACGACACCGCCGCCCGTCAAGGCCATATCCGTCTGCAATGGCCGCTTAGTTACCACACGCGGGAACACCACACAAACCTACCGAAGCTGTTGAAAATACAATCCATCTCCTACCTGTGCACCGTCACCGATTTCTCATTCAATCGGCAGCTTCCTCCCCGCCCTGCCCCCTAAGTGAGGGAGCCGAGGAGGGGGAGAGGGGGGGTCTGAGCTCAGTTGCCGCGGTGTCAGCCCGGGCACTGTGTACCTGAGCGTTATCGGAGACGGAGCCGCCGGTCTGGCGGCGTGTCACTGAGCAGAGCAGCGTCACACGGACCGGGGCCGACGGCGCCGACGGTAGACGCCAGTCTGCTGCCCAGGCCCGAGGTCACACGAGGTCAACAGAGGTCAGTGGAGGTCAGTGGAGGTCAGTGGAGGCCAGTGGAGGTCAGTGGAGGTTACAAGAGGCCAGTTGGACTTTGCAAGAGGTTCACCTGGTCGCACGAGGTCGGTGCAAGTCAGTGGCGGATATTCGTTCATCCATCCAAGGTGAAGAACAACTGAAGGGAAGCTGAAATGCACGACTGTGATAGCAACTCAGCGGAATAGAATCATCTAAGGTGAAAAGCGCAGAAGAAACCCGGTTAGGGTGTGACGAACCGGGTCCACAATGCGGCAGAGGACGTCTGGCGACGGCTCGTCTCGCTCGCACGGTCTGAGGGGGTCAGGCCTCGGTGACCGGTGCTGTCGTGACCGACCTGTGGTGGCCGGGCTCCACGGGCCAGCCGGCGACGGGACGGGAGCCCCGCGGCCCCAGCTGACCCGGCTGGCCTGGCTCCTCCTGATGCTGTCCGTGCTTCTCTCGCCAGCCTCGGCGGCGCGAAAGGTGAGTTGGGGGGGGGATGAAAAGGTGGCCTGTGGGGGAGGGGTAAGGGTGGAGGAGGGGTGAAACCTGAGGACACCTCTGTCCAGCTTTATTATTGGAGGCGATTGATATTTGGTAATTCAAGCTTAACGGCTGGAAACCTGAGGCGTGCCTATGATCCTTTGAGTTCGCCAAACCAAGCTATGTCTGGGCATCAATTGGCGTTCCATTGAAAATAATCAAATAATTTCACTGAAGTTTAGGTCGTGGGTCAGTTAGGAGCTCCGCTGACCTACGTCTAGAAGCTCCACTGAATAGTAAGTCGGGGACTTGGAACATGGAAACGGTTATTTTATTTATTTATTCTTATTTATTCAGATAAATCGCCAACAGGCTCATGGCCCATTAACAGGCGAAGTCATATCCCTTCTTCCCAAGGCACTTCTTCTCAATCGAATCGCACATTCCTTGTTAGTGAAACCTACCTCTCTTAAAGCGACAAGCCTACCTTTGTCGATATCTAAGACATGATTTCAGACCTCCAGTATAGCTGCGCTACGCACTCAGTTCGCTGCGCCGTCTCTGGGCACTGACTTCGTAAGGAGATGTAACTTTTGGCGCCGAAAATGATCAAAAACTATCTACAGTACACGGAATCGTGATTTCACGCACTCCTCGCAAAGTCTGATGCTTCACTCTTGCATTGTTAACCTTGCGTGACGTCATTTGTCAGTAACGTCATCTGAGTTTTTCGTTATTCTTCCGATCAAATTGAGCTAGTGAGTCAAGAAAGCTACCAATGAACTCTAAAAGACCTGCCAAATTGAATTGTATGCAATATGATCTCCTTTGACCAACTTGATGACCTGAGGGGCTCTGACCTGACCTTGACCCGAGGTCAACACCAAGTTTACCTCACCCGAGCAAAAAGTATACCATTTGACGCGCCTGAGCTAGACAAACACGATGATGCCAAAATCGCGGCTCTGAGACTATTTTTGGCGATGTTATATACCAAAAACCAAGTTTGTGCCTGGGCCACGTGGCTTGACCTCTGAGGTCACCGGCTGACCTGAGACAATCGGCTACCAATCGCTGCGTCTCGGAACGGCTGCGCACACTTTTATTTATTCCGCGAGTCTCTAACTAATTAGGGACGATACGGCGGGGGGGGGGGGGTCGTACCACCACCCCCTTGGCCGCGGGGCGTACCTATGTAGAAAGCCAATAGGTCAGGCGAGGCGAGGATTAAGCTTAAACACTGTGGGTTAAACCACCTCGAATGCTTCGTCGTAACTTAGCCTTGCCTGAAATTAATTTTAAAAATAACCTCTGAAGAAAGTTGACGAGGCCAGGGCAATAGCTAAGCGATAAGTTTTAATGCATTGTGCCCTTCATGTGTTATACGTACTGACGTCTGACGGTCGTAGCTTGCCGATCTCCATTTCACTTATTCGTCTCCTCGTCTCGATGTTGCCACCTCTTTCGCAGAAGGAGTGCAATCTACTTGTAGCAACCTTCACCAGTCAAGCATTCAAGATTCATGACCTAATGCCTGCGTGATCCAAGATCCACTACCCATTACCCAGGACTCGTGAGTCCCGTCCGTGACCTGATGCTGTGATACAAGAGAAAAATAGCCCCCCAATCGTCATCATCTTCAAAATACGGAACCGATGACCCACGACCCACGCCTCGTGACCTACAGCCCGTCTCCCAAACACCCGTGCTCCGATACCCATGATGCATAACATCTTTTCTTTTAACCCATAGCTTAGGACCGTCCATGCCCAATAAAGGTAACACTAACCACCATTCTCTTTGACAGGTGCGCAGTCATCACGGACAGCAATGCATCGGCGCGTGCGAGCCCGGCAGCCCGGGCATCAAAGGTCTTCCGGGCATGACGGGCCTGCAGGGCACCCCGGGAGACACTGGGCCGATGGGCCTGCCGGGTCGCCGCGGACCCCTGGGTGATCGTGGCCAGGAGGGTGACCCAGGAGAACGCGGTTATCGCGGTGACATGGGCGCGCCCGGCTTCTCAGGAGCTCCTGGAATACCGGTTAGTGGCGAATGCAGACGAGGAAAGAAAGTTTTCATCAGTTTTATTGAAAGATTGTGTGAACTGCGTGGATATTTGTGTTTTATTATAAATAAATACGAACCTTCAGCATGCCTACATTTCATTTTTACTGTAGTGTCGCTTCAACGGTGGTATTACCGTAAGGCTTAGGTCGAAATTATCACGTGATTTTTAAATGATTTCACTCGGCAGGTGTGCTGAGTCCCCAGCTGTCCCGCAGGGCTTCAATGGCGAACCCGGGCAGCGGGGCCCACCGGGCCCGGACGGCTGCTGCTGCCACCCTGTCGGGCACTCGGGAGGTCCGCCGGCCCTGCCGGACTGCTGCCACCATGCTGGCCACTCGGGCGGGTCGCCGGGCCCGCGCGGCCCGCCCGGGCCCCGCGGCGCTCCAGGTCAGTGGGCAGGGGCGGCGTCAGATCCGGTGGAGAGGGGGCTACGCTGGTATGAGGCCATTGCGAGTGCACTGTATAGTCGACTACAGAATGATGTTCCGCTTCTCAGAAGCCATCAGTTGACCGGAGCACTAAGTTGTGCCGTTTATCACGTAATTAAGCGTGTCGATTGTGAGCAATGGGACAAAGCTATAATTTGTGAACTCAGCCCGTGTGATGCCGCACAGCCTACCACCCCAGGCAAATAATTGCCTGTGAAAAGTGGAACATCATTCTGTAGTCGACTATACCTAGGTGGTCACAACTTTTTCCATCATCCATCATCAGGAGAGTCAAATCCTCATCCACGCCTCAACCTCCGGCTCCGGGCTGGAAGGGCAGCTTTATCCTATGCGGGAAGCTCCCATAGGAGCAGGCCCGTAGCCGGGTGAAGGCAGGGATCGCCACGTCATGTGGATCGCTCATGATCGTAAATACATACAAATACACACAAAATGCTTTCAGATCGGGCTGAGCGGCCTGTCCTATGGGGCGGGCTCAGCCCAGATGACTCGCTATTAAGGTGCCCACCCAGACTAATGTTTCCCCCTAATTCCTATCATCCTTCCGGCTCTGAAGTGGTCTCGTCAGACTGGAAGGTCCTAACCCAGCGAAAAAAGAACGGTAGATGGAGCGGGGCGCTGTGTGTTTCCGATGTGTTCCTACAGGGACGGATACGGGTCGCTATGTCCCCTCCGTTCCGCTATATCACTATGTCGACCGTTCGCCGCGCGGTGTCTGACATGTTAATCATCAATTATCCAGGTCTGAGTGGGCCGAGACCGTCATGGCCAGGGCGGCAAATGGTCATGCAGAGGGCGGTGCAGAAAGCCGAGCGATGTGAATACTTGCACTGATGGTTACATATGCCCTATGTTCGGCATCTGGAGGATGAGGGATAGTTATCCGGGATCACCGGTAGGTATTTGGTATTGCAGGGACTATCGATGCACTTAGTTGCATTTTTAGATTGCGTTTGCTTCACAAATGGTTCTTTTACTCGTTGTCCTGTGCCGTTGTGCAAGGTGTCACTCTTAAAACACCGAATGATCCCGGTGATCCCGGAAAAAATTATCCTTCATTTTCCAGATGCCGAATACACGCATAGTCTCCGGTAAGGGTAGCTCGGGACATGGGGTAGTCAGATCAACAAGCAAGGGCGGTGCAGGACCAAAGGTGTGTACTCCGTGGTTTCTCCTAGCCTTTGAGCTCTGCCTGCCTGAGTCTTGGGAATCTGGTCAGGGGTCTGGACTGGCCTCCCATCGTCTCTAACCGCTGACATGTGCGCTCCCCTCAGGTTTTGACGGTCTGAAAGGTCGCCCCGGTGACCCAGGGGACGGTGGCTACACCTCAGTGGGCATCAAAGGAGAACCGGGCTCTGACGGCCGCAACGGTCTGCCGGTCAGTGGCCGCAGGCGGCGCGCCTGCAGAGGTGCTCTTTGCCTATCTTATCTACCTACAGTAGGTTATTAATGAAGACGATCATCTGATGCATTTGCCCGGGAGTGATTAAGCGTTTTAGAGACCATGTCGACACATCCGCAATGTGCACCATTTTCAGCATGTCTCGAGTAGGTATGTAGCTTACTTTATTGGCTCCGCATTTTTTACTCATTGCAAAGTTTTTTTTCCTACATGCCGGGGTATGTCTTAACCACAGCACGAGCCGGGCAGTAAAACTATGACCAAGAAACTGTCGGTGTCAAAATGCCATGTTATTTGATAGGCCGGGCAGGAAACAAAAGTTTACTGCCCGAGTTTACTGCCCAGGGCAATGACCTCTAAACTATAGAGCTTATCGCGTCAGCCCGCATTAACCCAGGGAATGTATAATTGACATCATTATTGCATGATATTTGCATCGTAAAATTAGAAAGCTAACTTTTTTTGTTAAAAAATATCTGCTCTGCTTTATAAAGGGCTTTGAAATATTTTGTATTGGTTACAAAGCCAAAATTATGGTTAGATATGCGCCTATTAACCGACCGAAATCCATTATCGTTTGTTGTCCTATTTTCGTTTTATATGTACACCGTTTCCTTGGGCCTAAGTTTATTCATTTATTGCGTTATTATTTGATAGTTGTAGTCCTTTCCTCGAAACAAACATGTAAAATATGGAAAATATAATGTATTTCACGAACGTTTTGCCATAGGGCATCAACAAAGCACGATTACATACCTATATAAAGCAAAGATTTTTGCAAGAGCTGAAGACTGGAAAATTCACGTTTAATCACTAGGAATAGTATACCTTCTTGTTCTTATGTAGTGGCAAATCATTCATGTATTATGCTCCTTGGATATCCAATTGTTGTGCGATTCTGAGGAAATATTTTCAGAGAAGATTCCGTTTGAAGTGAGGTATTTTGATGCATTTTCTTCTATGAATTTCCTTCAAAGCTTCATCCACAGCAGTAACGCAATCATTGTTAGAAAATTATAGACAAAAGAATTGTATAAGTGTCACCAAAACCTGTCAAAACGTTTTAATAGGTATGCGGCATGTAGGAAAAATCTTACTGACCTCAGCCGTACGAAATTATTTGGAAACTCGGCTTGCAAAATTTGACTCCGGCCCTCGTGCTCCGCACTCGGGCCTCCGTCAATTTTGCAAACCTCGTTTCCAAATAATTTCGTCGGCCCGGTCAGTAATATATATTTCAGCACTTATTGTTAAATTATTTCGATCGCAAAACTGTGCTTATGTAGGTATAAGATGGAGGTTTATATAATTATTACGGAAATGTTTCACTATAACTATATGATAGAGGCCGCCTAATTTTAAGCTTCAGCACAGGAACCTGTTTCTCGTCCACTTATCATGTTTCAATAATTAGCTTATTTTTGTCTTCCACAGGGCTCGCGTGGTCCCGAGGGATTCAAGGGCTACAAAGGAATGCAAGGCAGCACCGGTTTTCAGGTAGGTATAACTACAGTTTGCCTTATCTAGAGCAGGAAACCAATGCAGTCTAACTAGTTGCAACATTGGACGCCTGGCATGACTGTGTGTTCGGCTCTTCACCGTGAGAAAGGTCGTGTTGGTTGCTTGCACTTTCATAATCCTAAAGAGGTTTGTTTGTTTGTTTTGTTGGGTTAGGCCCTTTCGGTCCAATGAGACCATTTCGAGCCGGGAGGATGACAGGATATAGGGGGAGACATTGGTCGGGGCAGGCACCCTAGAGAGTCGCCGGGGCTAAGCCCGTCCGAATGGACAGGCCGACCAGCCCCCCAAGCACTCTCTGCACCCGGCTACGGGGTGCGCTCCCTCGGGAGCGGTGGTGCCGCTCCAGGGGAGCAGCCCGCATTAGATAAAGGCGCCTGTCCAGCCCGGAGTGGGGGTTGCGGCGTGGAGGAGAAGGATTTCAGTCTCATGAGGATAGAAGCACGGAACGGTGAAAAAGGTTTGTCGGGTGTTTGCATGTGATTGCTAATTTACGAGTAAATCTGCTGTAGTTACTTATAATTTATGCATTTTTCGATAAGTTACGAATCGGAATGTCTGAGCTTTAACGGATTTATCCTTGCCACCCTCTGTTAAGATCGCCCTCAGTAATAGCGTAACGTAAAGCCCACCACCCATACATAGATCCCCACTAGAACCGCTAATCTATCTCAAAACCGGATGGCGGATGCTGGCAGAGACTAGAACCCCCAAGAACTCCACCCATTTGGCCCACCCGGTTCAGGCCGCCTCCCCATACCCCGTGCCTGTTTCAGGGCGACGCCGGCCCCCCGGGACTGCCCGGAATTAAGGGCGCGATGGGGGACAGCCGCTGGGGACCGCCCGGGGTCAAGGGCGAACAGGGTGAGCCCGGCCTGCCCGGCCGCCGTCCTGTCTACAGCGGCGGCCGCGGCGGCGACGAAAATGTACCTCCGTAAGTATTGATTACAACTTAATTGCTCTGGCAGCTCTGCACCTTGTCGAATGTGAGGGCGGCATGCGAGTTTTTTAAGAGGACAATGAGCGGGTGAATATTTGCTGCTTCAGCTGAGTCTGTATACACGTTCCAGGGGGAGCCTTTGCGTTTATCTATTAAACTTGGTTGGTGTGTTTTATATTCAAAAAGTAAAGGAATGAAGTGCACTGAGCTGAACAGAGAAATTTTTGATTCTACTGTATTATTGAGACCAAATGACCGTTATAAGTTGCCGAAAGGAGTCTTTTAGTAGCGGCATGTTAGCCGACACATCTAAGCTTCGTGTCACCCCAGCGTTTAGGGACGACACAAGCCCGGTCGTTTCTTTCTGTTACCTACCCATCCCGGAACTGTATAGCTAGCTGTACAGTGTATGTACAGTGCTGACATAATGCCGTTGGGACGAAGATTGATGTGTGACCGGTGACCGGCAGGGGTCCCCCTGGAGCAAAGGGAATGCGAGGTGCCAGAGGACTACCCGGAGACCGTGGACTCCCGGGCTTCGACGGAAACCCCGGATTCCGGGGCCCTCCGGGCTCCAAGGGGCCGTTGGGAAGTCGAGGCGACGACGGTCCTCGGGGCAAATACGGACGAGAAGGACCCCCCGGCCCGCTGGGCGCCAAGGGCGTTCTAGGATCAGCCGGACGCGACGGCCAGCCCGGAATTCCGGGCTACGACGGCGCTTCGGGCGAGCCCGGATCCCCGGGCCGGCCCGGACCGCAGGGATTCACCGGTCCAAAGGGAGTCTACGACCCGAGTCTGTCGATGGCCCTGAAGGGAACGGTCGGGCCGCAGGGGGAGATCGGCTTCGTAGGACCGAAGGGCGAGCCGGGCTATCCGGGACTGGATGGATACCGCGGAGAGCCCGGATTTCGGGGCCCGTCCGGACCGGACGGCCCTCCGGGCCTGCCCGGCGCTCCGGGTTTCTCACCTCCGGGGGACCGCGGCGATGACGGATTCATCAGCGGTCTTCCGGGCGCCCAGGGGCCTCCCGGAAGACCCGGGCCGGAGGGATTCCTCGGTCGGCCCGGCCTGCCCGGACCTCCGGGGGACGATATTCCGGGCATTCCGGGCCGGCCCGGACCGCGGGGACGAGATGGAGCGCCCGGAATGAGAGGAGATCCCGGGTTCGAAGGTCAGTGGCACGACGCGCCGACGCCGGCACGGGCGAGGGCAAAGGTCACTCTAGGAGATAAGTGTCTCAGAGCTCAGGAGCGTCGGGTGAAGCAGGTCGGTGTTAAGCCTAGTGTCTGTGACTATGTTGGAATAATACGGCTCGTAGAAACTGGCTCAATGCATCATTTTGGCTCCTGTCTCATTCTCGGAACAGCGGCATTACCTATACTTTCGCTCACGATGGTCGCATTTGAAAATCTTATTGAAATAAAAAGTTGATCAGTTTTTAGCGGAACATGAATCACATATTCACATGTCATTATTTATGTGGCGTGAAGCCAGTAATTTCATTTCTATTCATCACTGACCCTGCGGATGCTTTCCTTATTCACGCTACTCTGTATCGCTCCACTAATTGGGCCTTTCGGGACCCCGCAGGTTCGAAGGGTCTACCGGGCCGAGCAGTGTTCCCAAGAGCGGGCCCCAAAGGCGCCAGGGGCCTCCCGGGCCCTCCCGGCTTTCCCGGACTGGACGGCTTTGACGGCACGGACGGTATTCCCGGAGTGCCCGGAGAGAGAGGAGACGACTGTATACCAGGTGAGAGGGGCTGGAGAGAGAGAGGGGAGAGAGAGAGAGAGAGAGAGAGGGAGAGAGACAGAGACAGAGACAGAGACAGAGACAGAGACAGAGACAGAGAGAGAGAGAGAGAGAGAGAGAGAGAGAGAGAGAGAGAAAGAAAGAGAAAGAGAAAGAGAAAGAGAAAGAGAAAGAGAAAGAGAAAGAGAAGGAGAAGGAGAAGGAGAAGGAGAAGGAGAGGGAGAGGGAGAGGGAGAGGGAGAGGGAGAGGGAGAGGGAGAGGGAGAGGGAGAGGGAGAGGGAGAGGGAGAGGGAGAGGGAGAGGGAGAGGGAGAGGGAGAGGGAGAGGGAGAGAGGGAGAGAGTGGCTGCGTTGCGTTGGGAATGAGACGCATTTTACCTAATAATAATGGCCGCAATAGATTTTTTCACTCCAGCTTTCAGCTTTCGAGTAAGCTTCCAACTTCTTCAACTTGACTTCCGGTCAATCCTTAAAAACATGCAGATAATGATAGAAGATGGTTTGTACTTTCTAATTTGCATAAACACTTATTCTGAATCATGCGTGACCGTCTATGTAATTTGTACAACCGATGTGTTTTATGTTTCACCACAACAATCGTGAAGTTTGATCTGTCACCTGACATTGGCCCATCCGCCTTGTGACCTGACCTTGTCACCTGACATTGGCCTATCCGCCTTGTGACCTGACCTTTGACCTCTTTTGTGGCGCCTTATATCCTATCTCTGATGTCACCTTTGATCTGTGACGTTTGATCTGAGACTTCTATCCTGTGGCTGTGACCTATGATCTATGGCTACTGACCTGCGACCTCTAGCCTGTGACCTATGATCTATCTATGGCTACTGATTTGACTTCTGACCCCTAGCCCGTGACCTGACCTCTAACCTCTGACCCGACAGGAATCTCTCGTGTCTGTGAGAAGGGCGAGCCGGGTGAGAGCGGCTGGAATGGTCTACCTGGACCAGACGGCTTTGTTGGACCACCAGGACCAGATGGTCTTCCCGGTCCGTCCGGACTGCCTGGAGCGGAGGGCTACCCCGGAATGGACGGGCTACCCGGAGCGAACGGTGGGTGGGGGCCTCGAGAACAATGAGCGCCTTTCTGCAGAGGGCTCAGGAAAAGGATGATTGATAAACTGATATAATAGGCGATACAGGGCCTTGGGCGATACGTTACATAGGAATAGTCACTTCTCCAGGTTGTGTATTGCATGTATTCAGTGCACTTGCGGACAACAAGTTTTAATCACTTATGTCATCACAAGATACGTAACTTGAAACTACTTATAAGCTCACTAGTTTAACTAGTTTACCTGTTCTCTAGATAAATAGAGAATTGCATTAACTTGGGAACGGCTCGTTCTGTTCATACTTCCTTCCCCGTATCGACCCGTAATTCAGGTCTAACCCGTGTCGGCAGGCATGGCCGGCTGGCCGGGCCTGCGCGGACCCCCGGGCCAGCTCTTCTTCACAGGCGGCTCCAAGGGCTTCAAAGGCGACGCCGGGGAGCCAGGCCCTCCGGGCCTCCCGGGACCCGAGGGGCCTCCGGGCCTCGTGGGCCCAGACGGGCGCTCCGTGGACGGCCTACCGGGAATGCCGGTCAGTGGTTGGGGGGGGGGGGGGGGGAGCTGGCGTGGGGAAACAGTATAGAGTGGCCAGCGTTGAAAAGGATGATGTTAACTACGATGAAATATGTCAAATGTTTTGTTTTTGTCTCTGAGTGACCTCCATTTTACCGTCTATTGATAGGTATATTTGATGGCACTTCATAATTGTGTTTATACAGCGTTTGAAGGAACCTATCGACATTACCTTACTTCTCTTTGATGCTTTTCTATTTGATCACGGCGGAAAAAGACATTGCGTTGCGTTGACTGATGCTTAAGAGTTTTTTTTTTAAAGAAATACACCGCCACCCATGAACAGGTGACCAGGAGTGCCGGCAGCCGGTGCACTAGACACTGTGTTAGCGTTTTTCTCGGCGTCAGGCAGAGAACCTAGTCCCTACTTCATACATCGTGCACAATATTTTACCGCAGAGTAAGGTACATATCGTACCTATGTGTACGGCGTTGTTCCCCACAGGGTGAGTACGGTACACATTATTTATGGCGTTTCCCCCGTGATGAGAGTACGGTTCACATTATTTACGGCGTTGTCCCCACAGGGCGAGTACGGCGACATGGGACTGCCAGGTCGGGACGGTGTACCGGGCCGACAGGGCAAACCGGGACTGGACGCCCTATCTAGGGGCACGTCCTGGAAGGGTGACAAGGGATTCCCCGGCTTCAGGTGGGTACAGCGAGTGGCCCGTGTCTCATTTGAGCCCATAGATGAAGACTCGAAAGTGTTTGCATAAAGTGTAGCATCATCAGTCTTCATACAGCTTCATACACTGAAAAAAAATTTTTACTCAGGCCAGGCATTACTCAGTAATAACTCATGAAGAAACTCAGTGAATACGATAGTGGTGCTCACTTATTGGCTGATCTAACTCACATCACCAGGGTGACTTCGTTATGCGTGAGTTCTGAGTGCTTAGTTTCGTGAATTCGAACTGAGTCGGAAATGAGTTTTGCTTGGGCAAATCTAGTTTCCTGCGCAATGCATGAGTTCTCGCGAATTCACGTGCAGTTGTGCGTGAGGTACCCCCGGCTTGAAGATGCGCGCATGCGCGGCAGGGTGAGTTTCCTGCGTGATGCGTGAGTTCGCGTGATGAGTATTATAGCCGTTGCGTTCGAAAACCGCGGCGCGCGCTTCAGTCCGTTGTGGCGCGGTGACTCGCGTAGTTCACGTTGAATTGTTGAGGCTATTGTGATATTGTGCAGGAGAGTGCAGGGGCGGGGAAGGCGTGCAGCGAAGGATGGGACGGGTAAGTTATCTGTGAAGAGCTCGGTGATTGCCGATGAAGCTTTTATCAATCGCATGCGCCGCGGAGAACAGGGAGGTGAACTGATGGACCAGTGCAGACATTCCCCGCCGGCGTCAGGAGGTCGGTGCCAACCGTGAACGGCGGAGCAGATCGATCGAGAAACTGAGGGATAGGTACCTACCCGGCATAGTTCGAAAAAGAAGAGGTGAGTTATGTTATATTTAAATAAAAAAACATGTTTGTGGGATAATGTTGTCCTTATTCTAAAAGAACGTTCATTTGACCCTTTTTACTTCTTTAAACAAGAACTCCGTCACGACCCGATGTTTTTTTTTTTTGGGGGGGGGGCGAAGGTTGTTTGAAGTCGATTCTTTCCATGCAGCACCCATAGGCACAATGTTAAAAATGTAAAATATTGGGGGACACGTCCCTCGTACCCTTCCCCCCCCCCCCCCCCCCGGTGGTGGAGCCCATGGAGCCCGCTCGCTGAACCGTTTAAGATCCTTTTGTCTCGTTTGTGCTTATTATTTTCCCGACTGTTATTATTTTTTTCCGACCGTTTTTTTAATGCCTACACACATATTTTCGTACACTATTCGATTTCAGCGAGCATTTTCAACCTTTCTTACATATTAGATTATTAGATACCGCGGCGAAACGCGTTTGGACGTGACATAATTATTTCCATTACTGTTAAGTATACCTAACACATTTTATGTGATTGTTTCAATCTGATTTTAATGTTGGACGCCCATGGAAGTGTTTTGCGAGACTAAAACCCGTCTGTTAAGGGTGACCATCCCACCTTGACCCGCGCTGTGCTGGGTGGCGTTTTACGCCCTCCCCCCCTCAGGTTTTTCGCGAATTTCTCAGAACGGCGGCGCGCAGCGCGCGCCACCATTTTCGGCACACCTGCTCATACATTTTTTTTGCATATGAAGAAATTTTAGACCCAGGTCGTTCAAGGTCAGGTCACGTCAAATGACTTAACATCAGAAAAATTGCAATGGTCGCTGACGATCGCACCGTTCGCAACGTGCCATGGAAACCGTTCGATATTTTTGTCATTTTCGCTCAGGGAATTCACCGCTCGATTTCACACCAGTTTGAGGTAAAATGTCAAAAAAATATCGAACGGATTTCATTTTATAGCGTTTGTGATACTGTCCCATGCAGGGCTGCGGAGTCGATGGATTCTCGGCGACTCCGACTCCGACTCCGACTCCGGCTTTCAAAAACCAGCTCCGACTCCGACTCCGACTCCGGGCAGAATTGTCGACTCCGACCGACTCCAACTCCCGACTCCGACTCCGCAGACCTAGCAGGGCAGCGGAGTCGACAGATTTTCGGTGACTCCGACTCCGACTCAGGCTCGGGTTTCTAAAATCGACTCCGACCGACTCCGACTCCGACTCCGACTCCGCAGCCCTGGTCCCATGTCTTAAGTATCAACCTTACGGCATGTATAAAATATATTTGCTAGTGCAATAAAACACCTCATATGTGTTCAGCTTGACGGTTTGGATCGACTGATATGCAACATGACCTGGTCAGGTCAACCTGAGGTCAAGTTTTAAAAATGCCCTTTCAAGGTCTAATTATAGTTCATTCGTCCCGACGAGAGGAACACTATGCTAACGGCAAAATAAATGTCGTGACTCTTGAGTGGAAAGTATTACAGAAAACATTTTGGTAAAAACGGCTTTTTTAGTTTTTGCTCTCTGGAGGCTTAATTGTTGACCTGAGGTCAAATCTGAGATCAAACGCCAGCAAAAAAAAAAAAAAAAACGTCGAAAGGGCTTTTGACTGCATTTTTCCGCGGGCAGCTCTTTTGGTTCCGAGTTAAGCGCCAGTTTTTCGAAAATATTGAAATAAGCAAAATTTGGCCTTTCCTGACCTCTGGTGACCTGGAACTTGACTTGACCTTAAAATTACCCAAGTATTTCCTTAAATATCTTTTATGCTTTTTCGAATGCCGCTTACTGCGTGTCGCTACGTGGCCCAACGGCCAACAGCCGAGTTAGAAGAGGGGATGTGAAGACGACCCCCTCCCCCCCCCCCCCCAGTACATCACGGTAAACTCAGAGCACCAGCACGGCGCGGTTTAACATTAATTTTGAGCTGAAGTAACTTGATAACTTTTGATATTTCAATCAACTTGCATGCCCTATAACTTCCGTTTCTCTTACTGACAAAATAAAATATGACTTTTTTATTGTGTTTTCAGGGAACGGCCCATTGAGCCTCCTCTGCATCTTGGCGGAGAAGGCGTCAGTGGTGGCGTACACGGGTGACGAAAATTTGGATCACCCCTATCATAACAAGTCCGAAGGAAACGAACGGTGCCGCCTCATCGTGGAGCGAACGGAAGTCTTGTGGGGATCCATGGTTTGGAAGGGAGTCTTTTGCTGTGGGCGACGGCGCACTTTGTGCTCAATCAACAAACGGCGCACAAAGTGCGAAACACGCTGTGGTTTGTGTGTATCCATGTGCTCCACACACCATTCAATGCTGAGCACCAGCCACCTTTAGCCGCGAAGACTGAGGTCGAGAAGCTGGCAAAAGAGTGAAGCTGAGCTGACGTGGAGTCGATCCCCCCCCCCCCCTCCCCCGACGCAGTTTGGCGTGTGTCAGAATTGAAATACAGCGCAATGCGACCGTTTCTACAAACATGTATTTCTTGTAAGGGCTGGGGCGAATAGTGCAAGACTAGACGTTGGTCGGGCATGGTATAATACAGATATGTATGCTGGTTTTGGGCAATTATTCGTTATATATTGGCCAATCCCAATATATAGACTAGCTGCCTGGTAGTGGCTGTTGTATCAGCATCATGCATGCATATATTGCATAATGCTGATGCGGCAGCTGTTATCATGGGCGGCGAGCCATATACATTGGCTTGAGCCAATATAAAACGAATCAGATCAGCCGTTTCAGGCGGCGCCTGAGTAACAACCGAGTATCGTATGAGTTATCGATGTGAGTACGTCCTGAGTACAGCCCTGGTTTTCACTGAATAACCGATGAGTTCCAACTGAGTTATGGCCGTACTACCACCTGAGTTATACATTAGTACCAGCTGAGTTACATGTGAGTTACTTCCTAGTTTTTCATGAGTAATGACTTACTAATACCTGAGTTTGGCCTGAGTTGTCTGAGTAGGACATGAGTTACGCATGAGTACTTACTGAGTTTTATCTGAGTTTTACCATCGGACAAAATGGCAACTCACTTTGTTACTCACATGCTACTCACTTGCAATGAGTTTTGCCCGAGTTTTACCTGCGTTCCGCCCTGAGTTTTACCTGAGTACGCGGATTTAGAGTGAGTTTTACCATTGGACAAAATGGCAACTCAGTCATTACTCAGAAAAGTGAGTAATTTTTTTTTTCAGTGTACTATCTCATTCATGTATGGGGAAACCGCCAGTGCCATGTGTTTCTCCCAAAAGACGAGCATTCCTATCACATTATCTCCTTGCATTATCTGACGCGCGATGTGTCACAACCTAACACTCTTCACACAGAGGAGTCCGCGGACGGGATGGCGATGCTGGCGACCCCGGCGAGCCAGGAGATATCTTTCCATTCCCGGCTCCTCCTGGAGTCATAGGTGAGGGGCGTAATGGCCTATTGGTAATGGTAGGGGGCGGGGGGTGGAATTGGTCTTTTGGCCGTTTAGTGCTAGATACGGGTCGGTTTAAGGTAAGGTTGACGGTTACGTGCAATAATTATTGGCATCGCTTATTGTGTTTTTATTTGTTTTGTTTTCAATAGTTTTGAAATGCTTTGCGTAATTACACGAGATGTCAATACTTGATGTAATTTTTTGCTAACATTGAGAGTGGGATCTCCTGGCATTCTTAGCCGCCAGAAACAAAATAATTACTCGTCAGAGTTCATGGTAATTAAGATTGATTAGTTTGTGAGCATTGATTAGTTTGTGAATTAGTTTCTAAAGATATTGCTAGACGCAAACACTCCTTTACGCTGCTACACCCCACTCTGACTCCTACCGCGGCCTGTGCCCTGCAGACAGTGGAGCAGCTACAGCTAACCCTGCTCCTCTCTCGCCGGCAGGAGAGAAGGGCAAGCGCGGCTGCCCGGGTCGGGTCGGACCGCCCGGGCCCCCCGGGATGCCCGGAGTGCGCGGCTGTCCAGGACGAGTCGGTCTGCCCGGCCGGCCCGGCCCCCCGGGACCCTCTCAAAGGGGCCCCAATGGGCCCAAGGGCTTCCCCGGCCCACCAGGAGAGCCTGGCTTCAGGGGCCGGCCTGGTCCCAACGGAGCGATGGGCCGTGATGGCGCCAAGGTGGGTGGAAAATGGAGATTAGATTTACCGAGTTCGTGTGGCGTTTGCATGCGCTCCAAGACTTACTTTGAGCATTATTACTTCAAATGTTGAGAGAACTCTGTTGAAAAATTGTGATCATATGAGGACGTTGTCTTTGATTTAAAAAAAAATGGAGGAAGCATAATGATGACATATTGTTGCCCATCGTAGGCAGCCCGCTTGCTCCCTGTAACGATATTATTTTTGTCGTCTTGCCGTCCTCCGTCACTTTTAATACGAAACTAAATGCAACTCTTATTCTTCTTGGCAACTCGTGATAACCTATTCAGTATTCACCTCGTTGTTTTCTCCCGCTCCAGGGCTGGCCGGGCATGAACGGTATGCCGGGTAACCCGGGCAGGTCTATCCTGCCCGGAATTCCGGGCACAGACGGCCTTCCGGGCACTCCGGGTGATCGTGGCTATCCGGGCGTGCCCGGAACGGACGGACGCCCCGGAATGAGAGGACCCCCGGGAAGAAACGGAGAGCCCGGGCTGCCGGGAACGCGGGGACTAGATGGACGGCCGGTGAGACTACATACGGGGAGTGAAAGGAGGAAGGGAAGGAAAAGGAGGGAAGGGATGACAGGGAGTAGGACAATTGGAGGCCAAAAAAGGAAGGATGGGACGTGTGACAGGTGAATTGAAGCAGGTGACAGGTGTCTAATACAAGAGAAGGCTAGTTCAATCGATTTTATTCGCTCGATGCCCACATGGAACCTTATTTCGTTCCTCACTGAGAGAATAAATATAGGATCTAAATGAGACTTTAAGCTCATTGCTATAAATGCCAGATTTTAAAACGTCACCAACATCTCCTCACGTTGTTCAATAGCGCAATAACGTTTATTTCACAGCCAACGATGCAATGTACCGTGCTGTGGTTTGCGGTATCGCAGTTCTGTTCTTCTGTGGCTGCGTCTCACGCGTCACGTCCCTCCCCTTCCGTCAGGGCCCTGTCGGCCCTCCGGGTGACAGCCCCCGGGGCCGGCCGGGACGGTCCGGAAACCCCGGCGTTCGGGGCCTTCCCGGCATGATGGGAATTCCGGGACCGCCCGGGCTGCCCGGACTCCGGGGCATGACCGGCCAGCCGGGGCTGCCCGGAGACCAGGGCTTCGACAGCCCGCCCGGAGAGCCCGGCCTGCCCGGCAGACCGGGCTTCATGGGACCGCCGGGACCCTGGGGCAGGCCCGGCATACCCGGACCGAAGGGCTGGCGAGGCGACGACAACTACTACCCAGGTGAGAGGGGAGCGGAAAAGAAGAGAGGAAAAAGATGTTGGTTGAGTGTGAACGAAAGGATGTGAAACCTACGTACTTAATTCAGAAGGGAGTAACGGCCTGTAAGTAGGTTATGAGTGAATCATTCATTCAAGTATCTGCCAACAGCGACCATTTTACATTGGTACACTGTCTTTTGACTACTTTTTATTTTAACTTTTTGATATATCTAATAAACAATTGATGACAGACGGTACAACAGACAACAGAATGTCAGCGACCCCCAGTGTCTCCAGTCTGATCCTCCCTCCCCCCTCCCGTTTCAGGACCAGCGGGACCTCGCGGCCTCCCCGGCCCCCGCGGCCGGCCCGGACCCAACGGCGATCTGGGAGACCCGGGACGCCCGGGTCCGGACGGCTGGCCAGACGGCGCTCCGGGTCCGGACGGCCAGCCCGGAGATCCGGGCCCGCCCGGACCGGCCGGAATGCCCGGAGAGCCCGGAGAGAAGTCCAAGCGGGGATGTCCGGGAAAAGTGGGGTTGCCCGGACCGCCGGGCTTCCCCGGACTGAGCGGTCCGGACGGGCCTCCCGGAGTGCCCGGACCGCCCGGACGGGGTCTGCCCGGACCGAACGGTCCGCCCGGAATGCCCGGAGAGAGGGGACCGTACGGATTGGAAGGCCGACCCGGAATGAAGGTACGCGACACACGAATGAATGAAGGGCTTTGTGCTACGGTGTATCATTTTCCAAGTAGTAGCTATAGTTAGCCAGTCTGGCCTGCGAACCGGGAGTGTTTTGCTCAAGCTTCACAGCATAGTGTAAGTTATTTCCTGGCCAGATAACTGTAAACATGCCATAAGGCATAAAACATCAATCTTACGACTCAGCGCCGGGCCGGTAACAAAGTGCTTCCCCTCAGTCCTGTTCCTGTCTACTCGACCGAGTGGTACGCTACAGGACTCCACATCCCTGTGTTACTTCTCATATACTTGACCAGGCCATTGATCGTTCCTTTTCTCTCAGGGCATGCCGGGTAACCCAGGTCTCTACCAAGGACCCAAAGGCATGCCAGGCGACCCCGGTTTCATCGGCTCGCCGGGCCCCTACGGACCCAAGGGTCGCCCGGGACGCGCTGGATTCCCCGGAGATCGGGGATTCCCCGGTCAGGACGGACGCGATGGGTCACCTGGAATGACAGGAGATCCCGGCTTCAACGGACGCAAAGGTAGGCGGGCTGCACGTGTCTAGTGGGCTGGGATTGAGTGCTTATTGGGGTCGGGTGGCCCGGGTGGCCGTTTCGGGATAACAGTCCCGGTAGGTGCAATCAAGATAACAATCAAGTATAGCTGAATGGCTCGATGTCGATTCGAATAAATTAGACGCACATTCGATGGCGATATTTATTGAGACGCTTATTTCTAACCCGTTCAAAATATGCGAAAGCTCATGTAAAGAAGGAGTATGCCTGTCAGTGTCTATGCTTCTTCGGAATTTAGATCGTGATGGCCATAGAACATCAGAATCTGTATATGTAGATAAAGAATTTGGATCACGCAATAGGCGTTACTGCGCAAACCACCGGCCCCCCAGCCTTCGTTGACCCCAGTGTTGTCTCCCTCTGCAGGCGAGCCCGGCTACCCCGGCTTCCTCCCCGGCCCTCCCGGTCCGCCGGGCCTCCCCGGCACTCCCGGCGCTCCCGGTACTCCCGGCACCAGCCTTCCCGGGGAGCCCGGCGCTCGTGGCTGCCCCGGTAAGGTCGGCATCAAGGGTGAGCCTGGCGACTTCGGTCCGACGGGCCCGGGTGGCCCGGCCGGCCGTCCGGGAATCTTCGGCGAGCCGGGCCCAGATGGACCCCCGGGGCCCAACGGACGGGACGGCGGGCCGGGCCTGCCCGGAGACGTGGGCCCGCGCGGACGGCCCGGAGAGGGCCTGCCCGGGGCTCCGGGCGATGGCGGCGAGTGGGGTCCGGACGGGCCGGACGGCGCGCCCGGACCGGCCGGCAGTGCCGGGGCGCCCGGGGAGACCGGATGGCCGGGGCCCACCGGACCGCCCGGCTACGACGGAATGCCCGGAGTGTCGTCGAGAGGTCCGCCCGGAGAGCCCGGCACTCGCGGCTGGGACGGAACTCCCGGTCGGCCCGGAGGTCCCGGAGGACCCGGACCCGGAGGGCGGGACGGCGACCGGGGCTCGCCCGGAGAGCCCGGACAGCCCGGAGAGCCCGGACTCAGGTGAGTGACCCCTGGCCGGAGGAACTGATCTCAGGTGACCAGCCTTATAAGCAGGAATAGGACTGTGACTTTTCACTTCTCTTGCATTTATTACTCGTCATGCGGCCTTGCCCGTCACTATATGAGGTGGTACTGCCCAGAGACACCGCGTCTAATCCTGCACCTTTCCTCCCTCAGGGGCTGTAAGGGCGAGCCCGGTCCCCCGGCCAGCCGCGATGGATTCGACGGGCCACCAGGGCCGCCGGGGCCGCCGGGAGACCCCGGCCTGCAGGGCTGCAAGGGCGACCCGGGAGTGGCGGGCACACCCGGCTGGGACGGACCGGCCGGCTTCCCGGGACGCCGCGGCCCCGGCGGACGGAAGGGCCAGCCCGGAGAGCCGGGCAGGTCGACCCGAGGCCAGCCCGGGGAGGTGGGGCCGGAGGGTTTCCGCGGTCCGGACGGGGCGCCGGGCACCCCCGGCCTGCCCGGTGCCCGCGGCTGGCCCGGAGACCCCGGCGAGCCCGGCATCCCCGGCCTGGACGGACCCCCGGGCTGGATGCCCGGGCCCAAAGGTCAGCCCGGCGAGCGGGGCATCCCCGGCCGGCCGGGCATCCGGGGGCCGCCAGGGTTCGGCGGTCCGCCGGGCGACGACGCGCTGCCGCCGCCGCTGCCGCCGTCCCGGGGCTTCTTCTTTACTCGTCACAGTCAGTCGACGTACCCGGCGCAGTGTCCGCCGGGCACGCAGAGACTCTGGGACGGCTTCTCCCTGCTGCATGTTACTGGAAACTCCAAGGCACACGGCGCTGACCTCGGTAAGGAGACGGTGCTTTCCCACAGTGAGAGGAGGGATCATTAGGTGGGTGCTGGTATTCCGAACAAATTTCCAATTTAAGCGTTCTTGATGACGACTTTGTTTGAACACTTGTAGCACACGTGAAGCCCCATAAGGTAACAAATAACCATTTACTGTGATTCAATTAATGTAACGTTCCAGATCATCCCTCGTTACCTGATTATCATATTCGTCTCTAATTCCCTGTAACGGAATAATAAATCTCCACGCTTTAACTTGTCACTGAAGTCGTTTCGAGGGCAGATAATAAACCAAAAGTCGATCTGTCGATCGCTCTCTTCCCTGTAGTCGTAAAGGAGAAGTTCGTATGTAAAAGGTACGGTGACTCGAAGTAGCACTTCCTCACTAACTCTCTCTTTTTTCTCTCTCTCTCTCTCTCTCTCTCTCTCTCTCTCTCTCTCTCTCTCTCTCTCTCTCTCTCTCTCTCTCTCTCTCTCTCTCTCTCTCTCTCTCTCTCTCTCTCTCTCTCTCTCTCTCTCTCTCTCTCTCCCTCCCCCCCCCCACAGGCACACCTGGCTCCTGCCTGCAGCGGTTTTCCACGATGCCCTACATGTTCTGTGACACCCAGGAGAAGTGTGAGTACGCCCAGCGGAATGACTACAGCTACTGGCTCAACACGCCGGAGCCGATGCCGGCCATGATGACGCCCATCAGGGGTCGAGATATCCAGCGCTACATCTCCAGGTGAGCTGACGAAGAGGATGGAAAAGAGGATGGAGGTTTGTGGTGGTAGATAGAAGAGGAATACAGTGCCAGGGGTTGTTAACCCGCGCCCGGCTGGGGGTCCTGGATTTCCACGCCCTGCTGGGGGGGGGGGGTGTTTGAACACCCCCCCCCCCTTGTAACTCGGCTCCTGGGCCACGTAGCGATACGCGGAAGGCGGCGTTCGAAAGAGCGTAAAAAATAATGACGAAATCACTTCGGTCAATTTTTTGATCAGGTCAAAGGTCAGGTCACCAGAGGTCATTGAAGGCAAAATTTCGCCGATTTCCAGGTCGAATGGCGAAAATTTCCAAGAAGCCAACGCATAACTCGGGGACCAATAGAGCTACAGCGCCGCAGAAAGCGCATTCGATAGCCCTATTAACGCCCTTTCTGAGTAATTCTCTCAGATTTGACCTAACGTCAACGGTTTTGCCTGCAGGGGGCAAAAACTGCAAAAATAGCCGATTTTTTCGGAAACAGTTTTTCTGCAATAACTTTTGACCCAAGCCCTGTACGAGCTTACTTTTACCGGTATCGTGTTCCTCTCGTCAAGACGCATCGAATTAACTATAACTTGACCTTAAAAGGTCAACTTGAAAATTTGACCTCAGGTCAAGGTCATGACCTGACCGAAAAGGGTCATGTTGCATATCAGTCGATCCGTATCGTCGAGCTGAACACATCTAAGGTGTTTTCATCGCTCTAGCATGCCTCTATCAAAAGTTATTTGCGAAAAACTGTTAGATACCATTCGTGACCTAAGATGACCTCAGGGCATAAACAAGGGTCACGGACACCATTTTCATGTTCAGTGTGTCTAAACCACTTGTAATTCGGTGTTTGGGAGTGTTTATAATGTCTTTCATCCAAAAGAGGCGCATTTCAATTTTCTCCCATTGACTTATAATGGGGAGGTCGCAAAATTGACCTGACCTTAGGTCATCGATATCAAAATTCTGAGATATACATTTTGTACATGCTATTGCTCTTAGCAATCGCTGAAAGTTTCAAAGCGATCGGTCACTCGGTGTAGCTATGACAGACATTGAAACTTTTTATGAGGTGAGGTCACTTTAAGTGACCTGGTGACCTGACCTTGAATGACCTTGGTCTGAAATTTTCACAACATGTGTAGAATTGATGTATGATAAGGTTACCAAAAACGGCGGCGCTCCGCGCCGCCGTTTTTGAGATATTCGCGAAAAACCACAAGGGGGGGTGTTCAAACACCCCCCCCCCCAGCAGGGCGCGGGTTAACTTATCGCAAAGGTCATAAGTGGTGAGATGGCATTGGTGGTGTTCGATGATGGATACGGTTTTTGTTGAATGATTGTATCGATTTGTTCGATTTGGTCTACGTGTACTTAATTTTGTTCGATAGTTGCTACTTTGCTGTATGACACCAACAGTGGATATAATAATTTCATTAATTGTTTAGCAGCCTATTTAGTCTCTCCCAATGATAATCACAGCTTGTGTTTAACATAAACTCCGGCTTCGCGTGTACATGACGGCGGCTACGATCACTGGGCCGTCCTATCCTTCCTAGGTGTACGGTGTGCGAGACGGATACGAGAGCCATCGCCGTGCACAGCCAGGACCTAAACGTGCCGGAGTGTCCACTCAACTGGGAGACGCTCTGGATCGGGTACTCGTTCCTCATGGTCAGTACATAGCTGCTTCTCTGTGGGGAGAGGAGGGGAACTGGGGAGACCATGGAGGGGTTTAGACAACATTGCTAGAATATAGACAGGAGATGTGCCGATGTTGTGTACACCCTGTCCCGTCTGGTGGTCAGGGGGTTGTCAGGTGGCCAGGGGGTTGTCAGGTTGCCAGGGGGTTGTCAGGTTGTTAGGTTGTCAGTCAGGTTGCCTGGTAGTCTTGCTTGCTAGCATGCAAAATCTGATGGACATATCGCTACATGTTATTGAACTAGATTACTAGGAGGCTTTAAGCTGCCTATTCTACTCTGTGTGGTGGGAGGAGAGGTCATTTGGACAGGCTACTCTTTTTCCCGTGGACAGTACTTTTCTTTGGGTGGGAGAGATAGGATAGGAGAGCCTTATTTCTTTATTGGTATATGTTTCTTCACTGGTAGTGCAGGTTTTGGCCGGGGAAGTGGTAGCTGACGGAGCACTGTGCGCCGTTTCCCCAGCACACTGACGCCGGGGCGGAGGGCGGCGGCCAGTCGCTCGTCTCCCCGGGCTCCTGTCTGGAGGAGTTCCGACCGACTCCGTTCATCGAGTGCCACGGTCACGGCCGGTGTAACTACTTCACCACCGCCTTCTCCTACTGGCTGGCCACCATCGACGACCGGCAGCAGTTCCGGCAGCCGCAGCAGCAGACGCTCAAGGCCGGTAACCTGCTCTCGCGAGTCTCCCGCTGCGCCGTATGCCGAAGAGTCCGCCCTGTGTGGGATTCGAACCCGCGTCTGCCCAGACGGCAGTTTTATGACAGCGCGCCGTTCAATCCTAGGGTGGCTAGAGCTGTGACGGGGAATGGCACGGCAATAGGAGAGCAGGAATGAAATGGAATGAAGGGAATGGAAGGAGTAGAAGGGGTGTGAAAGATTCGAAGTACTCGTCGGCAGGGTAAGGTGAGACGTTGGTCGTTGGGTGATGGCGCTGAAACAAGATGGTGCTATTAGTGATAATGGGGTGGTTCGTCGGCAGCTAGCGTTTTCGGCAATAAAGGCAACTGTTAATGTGATGTATCTGGTGCTACGTATAAAGACAGGGTCCACAAGTAGTGTGTCTATCGATTTATTGTCCTATTGTCGTCATTTTCGTGTTTCACTCGGTTAAATTACATCGTGGGAAGGGGATATAATGGACTGTGATTTCTAGCCGCGGTTGTATCCTGCCTAAAACGTCTTCCTCCCGTCTGTGCGGGCTCGCTCGCCGTCAGACCAACTGCCACCGCCACTGCCACGCATTTAACAAACACTGCCAGTGAAACGATTCTGACTGCGCTTCGTGGGTTCGATTCCCGTTGATGGCGAAATGTTTGGTTCAACTTTGTACTAGCACGCAAGTTTCTGGGAAGCAGCTCTGCAAATTCGTGTGTAGTATGGGGCCAGACTGCATACATGCTGGGAAGTATGTACGCAAAGTGCGTATAAGAAGCTAGCTAATGTGTCCAAATTGCTTAGCATTTGTAATAGGTTGTGAGCCGTTATAGACGTGTGTGCTTCATAGTCCCTGTTGCTTATGTCATGATTATTCGATTGTGATTCGCATGTTTATGAAATAAATGATAATCAGTTTGAGGTGTGCTTCATTTCTGCTTTCTTCCTTTATGACACCTGCTTTAATTATATGAGGTGTAATGGATGTGTGCTTAGAATAAAGATCAACGTGGGCCGGAAAATGTCAGAAAATCAAATACAGCATAGAACGGTCATACGCAAAAGAAAATGAGATCAATTCGGCATAGGTAAAGTAAATCCGTCCTCAGTTGAAAATTCGAGGTGAATGAACAAATTATGGTTCCTATAGAATGATCTGTGAATTCTCAGATGTACCTACCGCCAATAAAATTGTATCGGTAGTGTAGCGGACTGAGCCGGAGCGGGTTGGCCTGTGCGTTGCTCGACAGGTGGCGCTAGTTGTGGACACAGGGGGCGACGATGTTCGTACTGACCATTGGATGGTGGCGCCACCCTAAGCCAGTGGTGGCGCAGAAAGTCCAGTGCGCCGCCCATCGCCGTGGCGTTTTTTGGCTGTGTGGCGCCGGCGTGAGACGCATGGAGTTTGTGCGCCGCCGTTCGCCACAATGTGATTCGGTGGAAAAACTTTGAAACCTACCTACATTCTACATTCTACGTTCTACGTTACTACACCGCTACTACTTCTATCTACGGCCCGCATTTCTTCGCTATGCCGCTGTCTTATTTGTCCGTTCCTACCACCAATTCAGTAGGCGGAACTATGGTCATGAGTACCCAAATATAGGAACGTTCCCATTTTTGGGAACGGAGTTCCCAAATATGGGAACGGGCGTTCCCATTTATGAGAACGGAAGACAATTTTTCGGCCGTTCGCCCACTAAAACTCAAAAGTGCATCACGTCTCAAAAAAGTGCACGCTGATTTAAGTATCTACTAAATCTCCATAAAGTTATCTTTAATCTGACCGTGGAACAAGGAAATTGACCGTGGAATGATATTTTTAATGATTTTTTTAAAAATGACAGAATGGTGGAAATATGGGTTATATGACATTTAACATGCAATTTTAAGGAAAATGAAGCATTTTTTACATTTTGAGGTCAAGTATAATAATTTTCGCCTGGTTATGAAGTTTCATTCTAGCGACACCAGATGCTGACATATGCAAGCGAACACGCGGACAGTCCCGAGGTAATATTGTTGACTTTTGGTGTCGGGGCGATCGACCGCGTGGAACGTCAGTGATTTTACCGAACTACTGTTGTAAACTCAGTTTCAGTGGTTTAAAATCATTCAGCTGTATTTTAGCAGCCCTGAAAGACATATTTTATTTGGATGCTAGCTGTTTAGCGTTGTTTTATAAGGAGCGTCATGAGCGTGGTTTTTGTCTTCGGCGTTTCTAAGCATGATCGTTTGGGGGGAATTTCTCTGATATAGGTCGCTCTGTGTGGCTTATTTATAATTTTTATGCTGATTTCGATCATTCCTCGTGCCCATCCTACCAGGCCTTTTGCCACTTACACTCATTAAGAAAGGAAAAAACTAGATTTTCATTGGGACTAGGTGTTTTGAGGGTGTAACATATTCAGCGTTCCCATTTTTGGATACTTCTTGTGCTCGTCAACTCTCGGTGATTAGCAGACAGGTGCTTGACATGTCTCCACCCTCGGCGCGGACGGTGGATATAGGTATGGAAGACCTTGTTGAACATCGCTGAGCGTTGTGGATTACGTAATCCTGCAGAGGGGGCGTGCCCGCTGCGAGATCGACGGGAATAAAAGCGCAGAAGACCGGGCGAAACATGCAACGGTCTTGCCGGAAAGGTCATCTGATGATTGTTGCGTTAACAATAATTTGCGGCGTTGGACGTGATGCTTGTTAATGAAAAGAGCCCCTGAAAGGCGTCGGTGAAATCGTTCCCAATTTTGGGTACGCCGTTCCCATAATAAGGAACGCTTGCAGCGCCAGTGTACGAGAGCGTTCCCAAATTTGGGCTCGCGGCCCGGGTGATGGATTGCTTTAGAAATAGGGGAACGATTTGAAACTACGATGGGCCTTACAATATCAAACTCTTTCCCAACAATATTGAGACAACTATCAGGCGGTTCACGATCGTTTTATATTTTTTGGACGTCATTTAACGGTTCTTTTTCTTGTTTTAAATAATGCCTACATGGCGTTCCCATATTTGGGTTTATCGTTCCCAAACATGGGAACGAAAATGCGTTCCCGAAAATGGGTACGCTTGACCATAGTTCCGCCTACTGAATTGTTCACCTAAACAACTTTGCCTTACCATATCGTTTTCGCCGTTGGCACGCTGCCAGATGACCCTTTTGCCATGAAAGCCTGAATATATTATTTATTTGTTTTTATTTGTAGTGTCTCAAAGCCCTAACCGTTTCCCATAACAGTTTCAAAGTTTCCACAGCCTAGTGATATGGTTGTAGGTCTATGCAAAAGTTTGTCAGAATGCCCAAGGACTTTCCGAACATGATGCTGTTGTTATGAGTGTATCTCATTTGAAGATTCTGTCTTGATCGCCCGAAGAGGCTTCTCAGGGTGTAGGCCGTGTAAATGACAGTTTCTTGTGGCGAGAAGTTTTGTACTTGCTGCTGAGAATTGCAATTGTGACTCAGTTCCTGATTGGTGTTGTGCTGTTAAATCCAGAACATGTCTGTAGCACAATTGAAACAGAAGCGAGGCAGATTGTTAGCTGCACTGACCAGGGTCAGGAGGAGGGCTTTCGTCTTGATTGATACCAGAGGTAGTCGGACTCGGCTAGCGTCAATCGTCCATGAGCTTGATCAGGCACTCGAGCAGTTGGAGGAGATGACAGATAGTTTAGTTTCTGTGCTGACATCTCAAGAGGAAGTTGATCAGGCAAGATTGTATCAAGCAGAAGCAGACAGGCAGCATGAAGAAGCGGTGAGCCTGATTGAAGTGCATTTGAAGGAGAGGAAGGATGATCCACCATCAGTTACATCAAAGCAGGCGTCAGACTCTGCAGCATCAGACAAGACGTCAGCATCCCGGCTGGCAGAGATAGAGGCCAAGGTGAAGCAGCTAGAGTTGGAGCAGCTGCAGCAAAGGCTTGAGACGGAGAAGGAAGAGCAACAGATCCAGAGGAAGATGAAGCTACAAGAAGCAAAGGATGCTCATGCAGCTGCCGAGCTGCGTGCACAGTTGGCAAGAGCAGCTGAAGATGACCTAGCGTGGGACCGGAGAAATGATTTCTGTGGTGAGACCAAGGTCTGGGAAGCCCAAGGGGCACCTAGTGAAGAAGCTGGTTCGACTCATCTCAGCCGAGCCATCCCACCAGCTGCACGAGCTGTCCAAGGGGCAGCCACTGTTGAAGTAGCCGGTCCGTCTCGTCCCAGCCACACCATCTCACCGGCCGTTGGAGCTGTCCAAGGGGTAGCCACTGTTGAAGAAGTCGGTTCGTCACGTCCCAGCCACACCATCTCACCGGCCGTTGGAGCTGTCCAAGGGGTAGCCACTGTTGAAGAAGCCGGTTCGTCACGTCCTAGCCACACCATCTCGCCGGCCGTTGGAGCTGCCCAAGGGGCACTCGGCGCCGACACAGCTGATTTGTTCTATTACAGTCATGTTCCCCCACCGGCTGTTGGAGCTGCCCGAGGGGCACCCACTACTGAACTAGCCGGTCAGTTTCGACCCACAGCCAGTGATGCAGTCGCCCGAGGGGCGCCTTGTGTTCCATCGCTGCTGCACAATAGTCTTCCGCGCTTGACTCTGCCGAAGTTCGGCGGCGAGCCGGCCGAGTGGCCGAAGTGGTGGGCTTCTTTTAAAGTTTTAGTACATGAACAGATCTCACTCTCCCCAACAGAAAAACTGATACACCTGCAAGCATCAGTGGTGGGTACTGCTAAGCTCACCATCAGTGGGATGATGTTTGATGGGGCCCTATATGAAGAGGCGGTGCATGCTCTGCAGGACAGGTTTGGCCGCCAGGAAGATGTCGTACACGCGTACCTGCAAGAGATCTTCTCCTGCCCTGCGCCCTCCCAACTAGATCCTGTTGGACTAGAGCGCCTGCACGCATCAGTCCACTGTGCTGTCATGATATTCAGGAGTCTCGGCTACGATGGGGATCTGAATAGTTTCGAGAACCTAAGACGAGTTGTTCAAAGGCTCCCATCTGAGATGAAACGTCTATGGGGAGAATATGTCTTGAACCTGGGAGAGAGGCCGACACTGGTGCACTTTGACGAATGGCTTCGCAGGCAGGTCAGGGTGGCCCTCAACTACGCTGCCGTGTCTCCACAGCAGAATATGGCGACTGGCAAGAAGCCGGCAGGACAGCCCCAGCGGTGGAAGGGCGACGTGAAGCCGAGGCCCGTCCAAAGAAGTGCTCTGGCCACAGAGATTGATACATCAGGCACGACTTGTGTATGCTGCAAGGAGCAGCATGAGGTGACAACGTGTCCGATCTTCTTGAAGAAATCGGTTGATGAAAGAGCCCACTTCATCGCCAGTGCGAGGTGCTGTTTCTTCTGTCTGAAGGCTGGACATGGCGTTCGGCACTGTCGCTCGGCAAGGCCGTGCGGCATCGACAGCTGCAAGATGAGACATCATCAGGTGCTCCATGGCAGCAAGAGGGTCGACCTCAGGAAGACTGGCCAGCGCGTGGTAGCAGCAGCATCAGTGAAGGCGGGCGCGACCACAACCCTGCTGCAGGTCGTACCAGTCACCGTCCTTGCCAGTGGTGGCAAGGAAAAGCAGGTCTGGGCTCTACTAGACCCTGGCTCTCAGACTTCACTGGTGTCCGAGGAGGTAATGACACAGCTGAATCTTCAAGGGGAGCCACAAACCCTCCGCCTGCAAAACGTGGAAGGATGCGGGCGCCTCCAGAACTCCGTGAAGATGAAACTGGAGCTCAAGGCGTCAGGTGGCGACGGATCAAGAATAGTGGTCCCTGAAGTTTTCTCCGTCAGGGACATCAACGTCACGGTTCCAGAGCTCCCTGACAAGAGGATCGAATGGAAGCACCTGCTGGACCTCGACCTTCCAGACTGCTCAGGGAAGAGGGTCGATCTTCTTCTCGGCGCCAACGTCCTTGAAGCGGTGCTTCAGCTGGAAGCGAGGACAGGGAAGGCGGGCCAACCGGTGGCCATCAGAACCGCCTTCGGGTGGACGCTGACGGGCACGGTGAAGGGATTCCTGCCAGAACGAACGCGCCAGGTGATGCTGATCAGGAAGATGGCTCCAGACGATCAAATGTCAGCAGCACTCCAGGAGTGGTGGAGCACGGAATCGTTTGGGAGCAGGTTTGAAGGCCAGGATGCCAAATCTCCCCAAGACGTCAGAGCCGTGAAGATCATGGAAGACACAACCAGGAGACTGGACAATCGCTACGAGACGGGACTCCTGTGGATGAGTGATGATGTGTGCCTACCTGATAACAAGATGATGGCGGCCAACCGGCTGTACTCCCTGGAGAAGACCCTGATGCGACAATCTGAGAAAGCGGAAGCTTATAAGAAGGTTGTCGAGGGTTACGTCGAGCGCGGATTCGCTCGCAAGCTAACCCCAGAAGAAGATCAAGAAGCACACCCCAGGAAGTGGTACCTGCCACATCATGGTGTAACGAACCCCCGGAAGCCCGGGAAGCTCAGAGTAGTGTTTGATGCGGCTGCCAAGTGTGGCAACACTTCTCTGAATGATGTGCTGCTCACGGGACCTGACCTTCTTAAGAACCTGCCCGGCATCCTCCTGAGGTTCAGAGAGGAACCCGTCGCTCTGACCGCTGATATCGAGTGTATGTACCACCAGGTCCAGATAACTCCGCAAGATCAACCAGCACTGAGGTTCCTCTGGAGAGATTTGGATGCAACGAAGCAACCAGAACCATACACCATGCAGGTCGCGATCTTCGGGGCCAGAAGCAGTCCCGCATCAGCAAACTTCGTCCTGCAGCAGACCGCTAAGGACTGCAGCAGTAGCACCCCGGCAGGGAGAGCAGCTAGAGAAGCGGCACTTACAAGCTTCTATATGGATGACTTCGTCCACGCTACGAGAACCGAAGAAGAGGCAGCTGAGATGCAAACCGAGGTGACAGAACTTCTCAGAAGAGGGGGGTTCAGGCTGACAAAGTGGATGAGCAGCTCGCGGAAGGTCTTGGAACGGATCGAAGCCGCAGAGCGCGTTCAAGACATCGATGTCGCGGTTCAGAGTGTGCTAGGCTGCGCCTGGAACACCATCAACGACACCTTGGGAGTCAGAGCTGTTGACTCACGTGTACCGTCAACGAAGAGAGGAGTAGTGCAAGGAGTAGCTCGACTATTCGACCCTCTGGGGCTAGTCGCTCCGTTCTCTCTCCAGGCTAAAGTTCTCATTCAACGCCTCTGGGCGGGGAACTACGACTGGGACGATGAGCTCGAGGGGACGGAGCTGCAGAGGTGGTCTCAGTGGCTCTCGGAGTTACACTATCTGGAGCGGGTAACCGTCCCGCGATGCTTCGGAGGCGCGTCGGCAAGTGACGGCTGTCAGAGAGAGCTTCACATCTTCTGTGATGCCTCTCAGGATGCCTTCGGTGCTGCCGCGTACGTCGCTACGACGATGCCTGATGGTCGCCGCGTCTGCTCCCTGGCTATGGCGAAGACCAGGGTGGCACCCCTCAAGCAGATCTCAATTGTAAGGCTGGAGTTGCAAGCAGCTGTGCTGGGCGTCAGAGTAGCAAACGTGCTACGGACGGAGCTGTCGGTCAGGGTGGATAGGGTCCTATTCTGGACCGACAGCACAGTTGTTCTGCAGTATGTGAAAAATGACAGCCGCCGCTTTCACACATTTGTCGCTAATAGGGTGGCAGAACTTCGAGAGTCTTCTTGCCCTGACCAGTGGCGACACGTGCCGTCGAGTCTGAACGCAGCTGACGTTGTTTCCAGGGGAGCTACGTTGTCTGACCTGTCATCAGATTCTCGCTGGAGCGCGGGTCCTGGGTTCCTGCTCCAGGAGGAGAACTGCTGGCCGGAACAGCCATCTCTCACGAGTACGGCTGTGCTGAAAAACGACCCAGAAGTGAGGACGGAATCAGTCATGCTCACTGTGAAGCATGACTCTGATACTACGGTGCTTCCCGACGCTTCGAGATTCTCTTCGTGGACGAAGTACAGAAGAACCGTGGCATGGGTACTGAGGTTTGTGAAGAACTGTGCCCCAAAGTCCTGTCAGGAACGAGCAGACTGGAGACGCGCAGGACCTCTGTCAGCAGAGGAACTGAAGCAAGCAGAGACGAAGGTACTGAAAGACTGTCAAGCTAGATGCTTCGCTGAAGAACTGGCAGAGATCCAAGCTGGCAAAGAGGTGAAGACTGAAGGGAAGCTGCGACAAGTGACACCTTTCCTGGATGGTGAGGGTGTGATGAGAGTCGGTGGGCGTATCGACAAAGCGCCCGTGGCCTATTCGACTCGCCACCCGGTGATCCTGCCATCGAGAGACGACGTTACTCGCCTGGTAGTGACGCACTGCCATGTGAAGGTTCTTCACTCAGGACAAGAAAGAACGTTGACAGAAGTCAGGAAGACATATTGGATTCTGAAGGCCCGCTCGACAGTCCGGAGGATCCTACACGAGTGTACCGTGTGCAAAAGACGAAGAGCGATCGCGCAGGTCCCAAGAATGGCAGAGCTGCCGGCCAGCCGGTATGACACGTCCAGAGCCTTCAGCACGGTAGGAGTCGACTACTTCGGGCCAATGTTCGTGAAGAAGTACAGGAGGACCGAGAAGAGATACGGCGTCTTGTTCACCTGCTTCTCGACCCGCGCAGTTCACCTGGAGGTAGCAAACGCTTTAGATACGGACAGTTTCGTCATGGCACTGAGGAGATTCATGGCAAGGAGAGGGAAGCCAGACTCAATGTACTCCGACAATGGGACGAACCTCGTCGGAGGTGAACGTGAGCTCCGTGAGTCTCTACATGAACTCGACCAAACTCGCATTACTGACGAACTGAGTCAGGAGAACATTAAGTGGACTTTCATGCCTCCCAGCGCCAGCCACATGGGCGGCGTATGGGAAAGGCTGGTGGGCAGCGTAAAGCGCGCGCTCAGAGTGACTATCGGATCTCAGTGTGTGACCGATGAGGTACTCCACACTGCGCTGCTCGAGGTGGAGTCAATGGTCAATGGACGGCCGCTGACACACGTCAGTCCTGACAGTACGGATGTTGAGCCACTGACGCCAAATCACCTTCTGCTCGGGTGTGCCAGCGCCAACATGTCTCCCGGCATATTTCAAGACAGAGAGATCAGCAGCAAACGACGTTGGCGTCAGTCACAAGTACTGGCAGAACATTTTTGGAAGAGATGGCGAAATGAATATGTACCAACACTAGCCAGTCGGCAGAAGTGGTTGCGCGAGAGAAGAAATCTCAAAGTTGAAGACGTCGTGCTGATGATTGAGGCAGACTCGCCACGCGGGTTCTGGCCCCTGGCCCGAGTTACAAGAGTGTTCCCGGGCTCGGACGGAGTAGTTCGTACCGTGGAACTGATGGCAGCGGGGGGAGGCAAGTACCGGCGCCCGGTCAGCAAAGTGTGCCTCCTGGAGGAGGCTGAATAAGCTCAGAACTGTTCTGTGTCAGAGCTGTGTTGAAGGATGGCTGTTATGTTGGTGACGACAGTGTTGTCCTATCACGTATATCCCAAGTATCCTATGTTTTCCTTCTGTTTCTTCCTAACAGATCCCTCCTGATGGCGGCTAGCTGCGGCGGAGGTGCTCGTCGGCTGAGGTGAGCTGGAGTCCTCCGAAGCTGCGTCCGGGGACGCTCATCGGCGGCGGCGAGCTGGTGCTCTCCGAGGCTGCGGCGAGCTGGTGCTCTCCGAGGCTGCGGCGAGCTGGTGCGCTCGTCAGCTGCGGCGAGCTGGTGCTCTCCGAGGCTGCGGCGAGTTGGTGCTCTCCGAGGCTGCGGCGAGCTGGTGCGCTCGTCGGCTGCGGCGAGCTGGTGCTCTCCGAGGTGCTCTCCGAGGCTGCGGCGAGCTGGTGCGCTCGTCGGCTGCGGCGAGCTGGTGCTCTCCGAGGCTGCGGCGAGCTGGTGCGCTCGTCGGCCGCGGCGAGCTGGTGCTCTCCGAGGTGCTCTCCGAGGCTGCGGCGAGCTGGTGCGCTCGTCGGCTGCGGCGAGCTGGTGCTCTCCGAGGCTGCGGCGAGCTGGTGCGCTCGTCGGCCGCGGCGAGCTGGTACGCTCGTCGGCTGCGGCGAGCTGATGCTCTCCGAGGCCGCGGCGAGCTGGTGTTCTTCGGAGCTGTGGCGGAGACGCTCATCGGCTGCGGCGAGCTGGTGCTCTCCGAGGCTGCGGCGAGCTGGTGGTTCTCCGGAGCTGGTACTGCGGGAGCTCGCCTGCCGCACGGAGCTGGTGGCAGTGGGCGGCGGAGATGACTGCTGCTCTCCGGAGCTGTGACTTCGGCAGCGAAGCCGATACCATGCGAGGCGTGGTGTCTTCAGGATGAACGCTGTATATGTGTGCGCGCGGCTGTGGCTGTTGAGTGGGCAACGTACCGAAGAGGTTTTGTGTTCAGGCTTCCGTTATCCCCGCTCAACGAGGTGTCATTACGACACCGGGGGGAGGATGTAGCGGACTGAGCCGGAGCGGGTTGGCCTGTGCGTTGCTCGACAGGTGGCGCTAGTTGTGGACACAGGGGGCGACGATGTTCGTACTGACCATTGGATGGTGGCGCCACCCTAAGCCAGTGGTGGCGCAGAAAGTCCAGTGCGCCGCCCATCGCCGTGGCGTTTTTTGGCTGTGTGGCGCCGGCGTGAGACGCATGGAGTTTGTGCGCCGCCGTTCGCCACAATGTGATTCGGTGGAAAAACTTTGAAACCTACCTACATTCTACATTCTACGTTCTACGTTACTACACCGCTACTACTTCTATCTACGGCCCGCATTTCTTCGCTATGCCGCTGTCTTATTTGTCCGTTCCTACCACCAATTGTTCACCTAAACAACTTTGCCTTACCATATCGTTTTCGCCGTTGGCACGCTGCCAGATGACCCTTTTGCCATGAAAGCCTGAATATATTATTTATTTGTTTTTATTTGTAGTGTCTCAAAGCCCTAACCGTTTCCCATAACAGGTAGGTAGGTGCCTCAATAAAAGTAGCGTCGACATAACTGGCCATCACATTGGAAAGTTCAGGTGGAAACGGGAAAAGTGCTGTCGGTGCCAGGTCTGCGGAGGCTAGTACTACCAGGGCTACAAGGCAAGTACTTCAAACGTAATTTCGATGACCAGCGAGGTCAACACTGATATTAGGCAAGTAAAATAGCGAAAATCGCTGGTCGGAGAGCATTCGGTCATAATGCCTATGTTAACGATGAAGGGAAAACGACAAATGAAGGTTTTTGGTACACCATTTCAAATTTGGTAGCAAACACGCCGAGCTCGTTCTTTGTGCGTCATTTCTGTCGTATTCACGTGAATTGCGGAAGGTGGCTGACTATTGAGCTGAGGTTGAGTAGAAAAATAGATGCTTTTGAAGCTAATAACTCCTCAGGTAAGTAACAGGACCTGCCCTGCTTGTTTTTAGATGAATTGTTCATTTGGAAAAGATGTCGAAGTCGTAAGGTGCTCAGCAGGTTTGTCATTGTCTGCCCGCGGTTGCAATGTCGGTCTGTGTCGCCGTTCGTTTTCGTTTCAATTTTGATTGAATTCTATAGTATTTTGGGCATGAAAGTAAAAAATAGCTTTTATTTTTAATGTAGTGTGGTATCCAATTTCGATTCCCATTGTGTTAAGGATTTTTTTAAGTAGTTCTTTCCACGCTCAGAAATCAGAATTCATCTAAAATCTGATGCATTCTCTGCTCATCAGACATTTGTTTCCAATGAAGCTTATTACATTGCAATGCAGAAAATTACACTGGTTGGCTGGAAACCCTACCAAGAGCGATATTCATATAGCAAGCGTCTTACATGCTGCTACCCCTTCTTGAAAAGTGGCTAGACTGTTCAGTTCTTGAAATATTTACATGAATTTCACTTATGAAAGTCTCAAATAAAAACTCTTACAGAACAAAACATAATCTAACCTGACCTACTAGCCTACAATCTATCTAAGTATCTACCAACCTACAACCTTCAAACCTAACATGTATAGCCATACAGACTTATTATATGCTTTTACCAAATCTACAACCTACAACCTACCAGTGCACAACTTTCAATGAAATTTGTGTTAATACCTCAAGAACTGGAGTCTAGCATTTTTTCACAAATGGGTGGCAGCAATAGCATGCAAGACATATTGATACACAGGTATCTTACTGTACTCTATCTTATTTTTTTTCAGGAGTGAATTGGACTTCAGCTGCTGCTGAGGAGGGCCTCTGGAACTCTGCAACCAATACCCTCCCCTCTCCCTTTATATTGCTCACCTGTCCCCCGGTACACATATCCCCTATATCCCCCCCCCCCCCACCCACTGCAGCCATGGAGGCAATCGTGGCCAACGTCGATGATATCGTGTTTGATATCGAGGTGACGCTGCGAGAGCAGCTGGGCGCCCAATCGCTACCCTTCCCTGGCATGGACAGTGAGTACTCTGCGGGGGGGGGGGGCAGACATGGTCTGACTTATCTGGGCTGGTGTGTTATGTTTTGGGTAGCACTTAGTGGATAAGTTACTGATGACTTATGGCGATTTTATCGGTCCTTTAGTGAAATTTTCCTGGAATTGGACTGAATATCCAGCTGGTATTGCATAAAAGCAAGTAAGCTACTAATTGTTATACTTATTGCCGCATTATAGAAAGGGAGATATAATTCACCTGAGTAGACGTCTCATGGTTTGTTGTTGGTTTAAATGATACTGGATATCTTTCCTCACTCCGCATCGCATTAGGCCATAACATGATTATGCGTCTGCTTCCTGTGACCCGTGATCTTGTATAACCCCCTGTGACTCTCCCCCCTCAGAGTCCATGTCTGGGGTCTGCAACTTCTTCGCCAAGGGTCGGTGTGCGCGCGGCGACCTGTGTCCGTTCCGGCACCTGCGTGGGGACAGGTCCATCGTCTGCAAACACTGGCTCCGCGGACTCTGCAAGAAGGGAGACTCGTGCGAGTTTTTGCACGAGTACGACATGACCAAGATGCCCGAGTGCTACTTCTACGCCAAATTCAGTAAGTACGGTGCAAATAGGGTACAGTGGAAAGCCATATGGCCAAGGCCCTCAAACAACATTGAGGCTAAATGACAAGACCTGTGTTATGCTGGTGGGATGGATGTTTTAGGACAGTTGAAAGTGGAGTGGGCAAGGTCATGGGTATATGATCATAACATTTTCTGAATATTGAATGCTGATCTTTTATATCTGCATGTCTGGAATATGAGGACACATCTCTGTCTCATGTCCTTAAATGTATGCATAAAATTAAGACAACACTCGTACTTGCATGTTTAGACACTCGAGGACTTTGCGAGTGTCAGCTGCAGTTGCCACGCCACTTCAATTTCTTCACTATGCATGCTGTATCAACGGCTCTGGCTTGATCCATGCCACTACCGACTCCATCTAACCCACCCTCTACCCCTCCTCAGACGCGTGTCACAACAAGGAGTGTCCGTTCCTTCACATTGACCCGGAGTCGAAGCAGCGCGACTGTCCGTGGTACGACCGCGGCTTCTGTCGGCACGGACCGCTCTGCCGTAACCGGCACGTGCGCCGCGTGCTGTGCCTCAACTACCTGGCCGGATTCTGTCCCAGCGGCGCCGCCTGCCAGCTGGTCCAGTGAGTTTTCAGGACGAGGCAGAGGGTTAGAAGACTACTTGGTGGGTTTAGAAGATGGGTGTGTTGTGTTTGCATATGAGTTGTGTTTGTTTGTTGGACTAACCCCGTCAGGAGTCTCAAATAATCGAGCGCCGGAGCGACTCGAACCCGGGCTCTCAACACCAGCGGTACAATGCTCCATCACCCGAGGAACGGGTCGGCCATAACCATGCAGCTATAGTTAATTCATTCAATCTAAAACATCCTCCTTTCTGTGTTTATTATGACATTAGCTTATGGCATGTGGTATGTCACATAAGCATATCAGTTCTGTCAGTCAAACTGAGACATATTAGTTTGATTTTGTCGCATTAATGTGCAGAGTGTTTGAGGCTAACATTCGGCCACTGACCACGTCCCCCCTCCCCTCAGCCCGCGTTTCGAGCTGCCCCAGCTGACTGACGAGACGGTGAAGGGCGCTAAGGGGAAGCCAGTGACGTGCCACTACTGCGGCGAACAGGGCCACAAGGTGGTCAACTGCTTCAAGATCACGCCGGAGAAGAGGGAGGCGCAGATCCAGAAGGCCAACGAAAAATATGAGGCGAGTGATTTTAACGATGCAGGAATACCGTGTACAATCAGAGGCACGGGCGGGTTTTGTGGTGCGTAGGGGTTCCCAGTGAGGTTATGTTTTGGACGGGGTGTTTCATTGCTGTAGGGATTTTTGTACTTACCTTTCGTTGGAATCGTTCAGATTGCGCATGTTGAAAGCTGAACGTCGGATTTAACTTACAGCGTACTGAATGAGGTAGTGCAATTTTGATCTGCCAATGCTTCATTTTAACTACATAGCGATTGTTCAGTTTCCATTGAGATCGGATAGTGAGTGCCGGCCAGACCTCTGTCCTCTCTCTCTCTCTCTCTCTCTCTCTCTCTCTCTCTCTCTCTCTCTCTCTCTCTCTCTCTCTCTCTCTCTCTCTCTCTCTCTCTCTCTCTCTCTCTCTCTCTCTCTCTCTCTCTCTCTCTCTCTCTCTCTCTCTCTCTCTCTCTATCTCTATCTCTATCTCTATCTCTATCTCTATCTCTATCTCTATCTCTATCTCTATCTCTATCTCTATCTCTATCTCTATCTCTATCTCTATCTCTATCTCTATCTCTATCTCTATCT